AAATGAAATTCTCGCTGTTGCAGCTTACGGCTAGCCAATTATAAATGACTGGAACTAAGAGCAGTCCGATAGTGACTTGTAACGGAACTTATGCCAAGTCGCTAACACGATAAGGTGCAAGTGTAGCAAATGGGTACACGATTTTCTACAGATCATAGTATCTAAAACATGAGAACTGTGGAACTCACGGCTGCACTCCATTCAGATTAGAGATTCATTCTATACAGTAAAGATGTTTGTTAATCACGCTCATAGTGTTACATGTTGGTTGAAATGAACTTCTAAGGACCCCATCGTATTTTAGACAAGAGGAGAAGTTCAAGGATACTCCCAGAACAAATCTCGAGCATCTATGTAATCTCGACATTCGAAACCCAGCCCACTTAGCAAGAAAAACTGGCATCATCTGCACTATAGGTATACATATAGCTATACAGCTCTATTCGTAAGGATAATATCATCTAAAATGAAACTTATCCGTCGCAAAGGGCCGTCTTGCCGCTCTGTCGACATGCTTAAACAAATGATCACTTGTGGTATGGACATCGCTCGTCTCAATTTCTCTCACGGCAGCCATGAAGTAAATGGATCAAGTTTTATTCCCTTTTCTTAAAAAGTTTTCAAAAATCTATGTAGTACCACAGTGGAACGATCGCTAATGTGCGCAAAGCTGTTGAATCCTTCTCGGACAACCGGCAAATTGCGATCGCTCTTGATACAAAAGGCCCCGAAATTCGTACTGGTCTGTTGACTGGGGGTGCTACAGCGGAGGTACGGAAAAAGACTTTATCATATTCCCAACAGCTTCATGATGAGAAAAAATCTGGTTGAGGTCGAACTTGCAAAAGGCAAAAAGGTTACACTCTCAACAGATTCGAACTTCAAAGAGGCTTGTACTGCTGAGACAGTGTATGTGGATTACAAGAACATTGTAAAGGTAGGAACCTCAAACATTTGGTTAAATAAAGTATGGCATCTTTCATATATCTAGCTATCTTCCCCCACAAAATAGGTCCTAATTAATAATCAGTTTTAGTTACATTTCTATTTACAAATATGAAACATTTCTATTTAAGTTAATAATTTCTTATTTGATTTTTTGGCAGTTTACGTATAAGCATTTATATTGTGGCTGACTTTACGCTATTTGTTTTAGGTGGTGAGCAAAGGCTCTCATGTATATGTTGATGATGGGCTCATCTCTCTTGTTGTTGATGAAGTCAAAGATGATGCTCTAGTTTGCACTATCGAGAATGGTGGCATGCTTGGTGGGTCACTTTATTTATATAGTTTACTCAATTGATACTAGATGTCCTCTTAAGTTTTTAAGATTTTTTGCCACTTTTTTTAATGCAATGTATTCCAAAATTAAAAAGCTGAGTCAAACTCTTGAAATCGTCAGAATAATTCCCAGTATTCAATTAGTGTGGAAAAACAAAATTTCTAACTAGTATCCTCTTGAAATTTTGACGCTACAAGGACAATAAAAACTAATCGCACAATCGGATTATGTATAGTTATTTTGGTTGACTTCTCAACCTCGATGCGTATGGTGTGCGGTATCGTATCGCCAATTTGAAGTGAGAGATTTTTTCCCTCCCCCCTTAGTGCTGGACACGTTGAAGAAAAATCAAAATAAGTGTAATGAGAAAGTGGGCTCGCTTTAGCACTTACAGACGTTAACGCCCTTGCGATTTCGAACAATTGAGTTTTCTTAAGGTTGTCTTAGTTCGCTTAGCTCTGCTCTAAAGTTTGTTTGATTACAATATGAAATTCAGGAAGCCGCAAAGGCGTTAACCTTCCTGGAGCTATCGTTGACCTTCCAGCTGTATCAGAAAAGGATATGCAGGTTTCCAAATATTTTGCCTCAATTGCTTCAAACGACTGATATGTAATTCTTAGGACCTCAAATTTGGTATCGAACAGGGTGTTGACATGATTTTTGCTTCATTTGTAAGAAATGCAGACGGAATTCGAGCTATGCGAAAGGTTATTTAATTACCTATCTGTTATTTGCTGCTTAGTTCAGAATTTAGGTGCTCGGTGAAAAAGGGAAAAATATCAAAATCATTGCTAAATT